TGTACAGTGATATGCATTTTCCTACTGGATTAAAAACATAGAAAACACAAGGACAACATGCTGTAACAAAAGGCCCAAAGGTCACCTTCTTTAGTCCTTTCCTTACATTCACCCATGTAAAGTCTCTTGGTTGTTCATTATCTTAGTAGTAGGTGTGGTGGGTGAGGAGCCATGGGAATTGTGAAACTAGACCAGAGAAAATCGTTACTTAGTTATCTTAACGTCTGTGTGGGGAAATGTGGGTGGGGTTAGCTGGTTTTTCAATGTTGTGGGAGCTGCTACATACAGCAGGTTATTATGAATAGAATGTAGGGTTTCAAAAGATAGAGCTTTGAAGCTTGAAAGAAGTTCTTGATTTTCAAATGTATGCTAAGATGGAAAACATATGGCTTTTTGCACCAAGAAATAATGTGCACCCAGAGATTGACAATATCTTCTAAGTAACCCCACGGCATAATTGGTTACTGTGTGACCACAGGAAGTTCCACACTGTTCTCAATGTATGTACATTACATTTGATTCCCATTACTTTGAAATAGTTACATTCTAAAATTGCCATAAACACTAATTAGCAATTAACAAGGTTAAAAAATACAGGGTTAGGTTTCTGCAAACCTCTGGTCACAACATTTTCATCAATGAATAACTTTGTGTGTGTGTGTTTTTTAAGACATCTTATTTAATATATATTGTCTATTCCTCAGCATTAAACTAATGGCTAACAGCTCTGTTCTCCATCATTATCCTTTTGTGATGCATGAAGAAGTCCTCACGTTTTGTTTTATGCCAGATCTTTTATTGTTCAGGATGGACTTTGAATAGCACAAACCAAAACTTTTTCTTACTCATGCTGTGTGACTATAATTGGCTCATAGTATGCTTAGATGCGCAGAGAAATGGAGCCTTTCCTTTCTCTATGGCAGATCTGGTCTCTTACAATCTCTTCTTCGTTGGAAGAGGAAAGCCTAATTCATAATAATTATATGATAATTATTATAAATTATTAATAATTTCCTAGTCTCTTCAGTCAAAACTGTTTGTTGGTTTGTTTGTTTATTTATTTAGTTTAGTTTACAATAGTCCCTCCTTTCAGGAAAAGCTCATTTATTCTGAGTTTTGACCCCTCTCTCTTACCTCCCAAGGTGGCTTCCAGGTGTGTGAAGAGTACACTGTACCCTTGAAGGTGGGGCAGGCAACCTTGGGTCTGCATCAAGGGGTCCTGGTATTGCTTTCTGGCCCCTACTGGCCCTTGTGGTGGTGTGTCCCTTGCTTACCCTGGTGACATCTGCCATAGAAGTCATTTGGGGAAAGAGTTATCTAGTCTCTCTCAGCTTGGTCAGGACCTAGGGGTTTCCCAGCTGACCTGCCTGTCCTTCTGTGACTGAGAATTCATGCCAGAGCTGATGGCGCCAAGGATGGGCATCTCACCCAAGCTGGACCAGTCAGAGATCTTCCCTAGGATTTTTCAAACTGGAGCTAAGCAACCTAGTCTCTTTCAGGAGGCTCAGGGCTAGTGGGCCACTTTGTTTTGCTACTTCGAGGAAGTAAAGGAAGACCTGAGGAAAGGAGCACATAATTGAGAGTGTGAGAGTCAGATCCTTGATCTAAGTTATACTTGAGATCCTGTGCTCCTTTTTTTTTTTTTTTCCTGTTTTTTCTGTGAGCTATTCACACATCTTTCTAGTAAATTCCCCCTTTGGGTCCAAGCTAGTTTGAGTTCAGTTTCTCATACCTGTAGCTGAAAACAAAAATCCTCAAACAATTATGATTTTTAAATGATTTAGTGATCATCATAGCACTTGCATATTTACAGTAATTCCAAGCAACCTTCATTTACACTATTCTCCATCATTATACAATGTTTACAGGCTGGGCACTATTATTGGCAAGCATATGAGATAATTGAGACTTAAAAAATTGCTATTATGAAATGTAACACTCATACAAAAAAGTACACAAATCAGAAATGTACCTGATGAAGAGTTATCACAAAGTTAACAGCTGTGTAATTTTCACACAGAAACAACACTAACACCCCCAAAGTCCAATCTCATGCTCCCTTCCAATCAGGTTTCTCACTTTATGGTTTTCACTTCCTTATTTTTTCCCCCTAGTTTTATTGCCCAAGCACACATCCCTGAACCTTAAAATTGAATTCTGCCATTTTTTTGAACATTATATAAATGAAGTAATGCAATATAACTTTTTGGGGGGATCTGTATTCTTCTGTTCTGAATTGTATTTTGAGATTCATCCAGTAGTTAGCTGTAGCTATAGTTCAGCTTTTTAACTTTATTATTATTTTTTAATTTTTTTTAACTTTATTTTTGAGAGAGAGAGCATGAGCAAGGGAGGGGCAGAGAGAGGAGACAGAGGATGAACCGTGAGATCATGACCTGAGTCAAAGCGGGACACTCAACCGACTGAGCCACCCAGGTGCCCCTATAGTTGTTTTTCAAAAATTGCTGTTTAGTATTCCATCATATGAATGTACAGTCATTTGTCTATTCTGTTAATAGATAATTTTTTGGCTTTTATTAATAATATTGGCATGAATATTCTTGGTGAATAAATGCATTTTTTTTTTTTACTGTATACCTAAGAGTTAAATTGCTAGATCATGAATATGTACCTTTTCAGGTGAGTAAATAATACCAAAATCTTTTCCTAAATGATTTTTCCAGTTTATATTCCTACCAGCATTTTATGAGAGTTTATCCTGTTCTGTATCCTAACACAGTCTTTTTAACTTTAGCAATTTGTGTGGGTGCAAATGGTATCTCACTGTGGTTTTAATTTCACTTCCTCCTGATAGCTAATGAAAACTGAATGCCATTTTGCATGTTTAATGGACTTTTGTATATCTTCTTTTGTGAAATGCCGGTTGAAGTCTCTTGCCTGTTTTTGTTTTTGATTGCCTTTCTCTTTATTGATTTTTAAGAGTTCTTTATATATTTGAATAAGAGACCAAGAGCCCTCTGTTGGATGTATATGTTGCCAGCATCTTCTTCCACTCTGTGGCTTGCCTTTTCACTCACTTAAAGGTGTTTTTTGAGGGAGAGAATTAATTCAGACTTAGCAATTGGGATTTGAAAACACTACATCTGCATCTGACAGAATAACTAGACCAAGCAGTGGAAAGTAAATTTCTCATTTCAATAAAATGAACTCACACATGCTCTCTAGACAAAGTTGTACATTCTTTCATTGGAATGTTGTTTCTGAGATGGCAGTTTATGTTTAAACGATTGAAAATTCCATTACATTACAAGCCAGAAAAATATACTTATAATATTTAATTCTGCCGCTTGGTGGTGTCATGGAAAACTAATAATAATGATTTAAAAGGATTGTTCTGAAAGTTTGCTGGACAGTAGGACTTGGCTATTAGCAAATTAAAAAACACATTTTTTAAAAAGTTTTTAATCCTCTTATACATTGCAATGGCTAAAAAATTCATATAGGCTCAGTCTTTCACTATAAAATCCCAGGTTTACTGATAGCCGAACAAGAAACCAGGATGGCACAAATAGTTTTTTTTAATCATGGAAATTTTCAAGTATCCTAAAATGCCAATATAACTAAGATCTCTGTATCTACTACATAGATAATGTTAGCATCCTGTCATATTTACTTTAAAAAAATTAAAGTTTATGCTCCTTTGTTCTCCTGTTTCATTTCCTTTTCTCTTTTTCTCACTAGAGGTGACCGACCCACTATCCAAATTTGATGTGTACTAGCCCAGTTCTTGTTTTCCTATTTTTCCTACATTTCACGTGTTCATGCACAATACAAATGTTTTCTATTTTTAAACGTATCTTTTCATGTTACAGTATAATGCAATTTGCTAACACAGTATTTGGTCATGTTGACATACAGATTTATACAGACATAAACAGATCTAGGTCATTAGTTTTAACTGCTGTGTAGTAATTCATGACACACTTATTTATTCCTCTATCAATTAACATTTTAATATTGCAATAAATGCAATGCCTAGAACAATATCGAATATATACTAGATCCTCCATTAGATTAATGGAGGCAAGCTTTTAATGAAAGAAAAGCGGCAAAAAATACCTCACGCAGACTATTTTTTGCTTCAGTTCTCCAGTTATTTGTCATTATCATCCACCCTATCTGCAGGAATGGCTGGAGTCATTCCCTAAAATTTCCTAATGCCTTTTTACCCAATTCACTGAAAAAGACTCTGATGTGGTGTGATCATGGGGACGGGGTGAGCGGATACAGTGGGTAGAGAGTGTTCACAAAGAAACTTCAATGTCAAAATTTAAGCCAATGGTTTGTCTGGGCTGGAACAGGAGAGGGTGGCCGCAGCAAACGTTATAAGTCTGGGGGAGGTCTGACAGTTTACAATGCAAAGCATGTCTGGTGCTACCATGTCCGGATAAGGAGATAAAGGAACATAAAGGTCCTTCTCTCCAAGTACGTTCTGAAAGCTATAACCATCAAACGCCACACGGTTGCCATGAGAACCAGCAGGGGGAGGGGGGAGAGAAGATCCGCCAGAATTCTTGATGCACTTAGAATGTTTCTTCTTCCGGTCCTTTGCTCTTGGCAACCACCGCCTCTCTCCTCGGTCCCCCGCCCATTCTGTGGGCTCCCGTCATTCTCTTCCTATTTTGATTCTTTCCTTCTCCATTCTAGGTCGCCATCTTGGGCCATGCGACAAGATGGCGCCCCCTGGTCGTAGAGGCAGAGCCCTGGCGCGCCAGCGAGCCTGCGCACGCACGTGCTCAGGCGCTGGAGGGTGGGGCGGGGACGCCCAGACGCTGCCCCGCCCCCAGTAGTCGCCCCGCCCCTGGTCCCCATCCGCCTTCCTCCCACCCGGCGAACCCGGAAGTGGAGGAGGAGGCGCGGCGGCGGTGGCCGAACGGGCAGGCGCTGGCGGAGCCCAACTGGGGAGCGTGTCTGAGTTGGGGGCGGGGGGCGGGGCTGAGCGGCCTGGGCAGTCAGGCCCGGACGGGGCGGGGGAGGCCATGGCCTCCGCAGAGTTGCAGGGGAAGTACCAGAAGCTGGCTCAGGAGTACTCGAAGGTATCCATCGTGGGCGGGGAGTAGGGGGTCCCCGGCCCTGCGGCCTCGGGTTGCCTTGGCAGCTACTCGTCGGGACGGAGGGGAACGGCGAAGGGGACACGCTCGCTTGCCCCTCCTCTCCTCTGGCTTCTCTGTCCACCATTACCATGCCTCCACCTGCAGCTCCCAAGAGATGGGGCCGGGCCGCGTCTCGGTCCGTGTGCGTTTCTGCGGGAAGGAGCAGGAGTTTGATTTTTGCTTCTCACCAAACTAGCGGGCTTGGGACTGGGGTGTCAGATTCCTGGCTTCTGCCTTTGGTGCTAGTCGGGAGGGGAAGGGAAGGGTAAGGACCAACCCCTCCACTGCTGCTTCCTCAATCTTCCCAGCCCAGTGATGGGAAAGATCAAGCTTTCTTCCTTCTCACAGAGATGAGATGAAGATAAAAGAGATTTATGTGTCCCCACTCAATTCGGGAGGGTGAAAAGAGCCATTCGTGTAAACTGTCTCACTGGGGATGGGTGGTTACGAATGTATTCAGTGCATTGGCAAGATGTTGTCTGGAGATGATTTTGAAAGCTTGAGTGCTAGGGCTGTGTCCTTTTTTCTTTCTTTTCCCTCGGTCACCTGGAGTGGGGCAGAGCACCCGGGTGCTCAATACATGCTGAATTAAGCAAACTAGGGACCTGCCCCTTTGTCGTATTTATGGCACCCATCTTTAAATGATGGAACCCTTTCCTTGGAAAAGGGTGGTGCTGCTTCTAAGGTGTTGCTGCCCTAAGAATATTCTAATGAAGTTATAAAAGAATCTCACATCTTCAGAAATTGACTTAACATTCTTTAAGCTTAGTTTTCTGTGACCTTTTATCATGGGGGCAATGGGAAGACTTAGCCCCCTGTTTACAATTTGGAGAAACGGACGCATTATATCCTTAGGATTTCATTTAACAAATTCTCAGCAAGGTGAAATGAAATATTGTTTGAAAAATAAAAGCTGTGCCTAAACATACACACTTACCTCTTTTCACCATCAAATGGGAGTCTTTTGAGATACGATACTTATTCATTGATGCTGCCTCGGGCAAAACTTCTTGCATTTCCATTTGAATTGGTCTTAAGAGCCTGTAGCACAATGTCAGTGATGGCAAGTTTTCAACCTTTGAGGGAATATTTTCTTGTTTGAAAGGGTCAGAAGTTGTTTGAAACATCCATATGATGAAGAAGGTTGGTGAAGAAGGGTACTCAAACTTGGCTCTACTATTTGTGGGTGAAAATGTTTTATGAATATAAAGTAAGGGGACTGATTTTCTTCTCCAGGGAGTAAACAATCTCAGAAGACAATTCCAGATGGCAAAAGAGAGTTCTAAAAATGTCTTAAGCAGTGACTGCATTGCCGAAATAATTACATAGCCTCCCCAAAGTATTACGAACTTGGAAGATTTTATTTGTTTGGATATAGATGCTCTTTCATTTAACAGACATTTATTATGTGCTTTCTGTGAACAGCCCGCCATGGTCTGTTGAGTGAGGCAGAGTTCCAGTTTAAGGAGCACCCTTTAATAGGATGTTCAAACATTGTACATCCTTATGATACAGTATGACAAGTGTTGGTTCAGTGGGAGCACAGAAGAGATGGAGGGTAAGGGTTGAAGAAGTTAACTGGGAAGTAGGGAAGAGGGAGGGTTGGTAGCATCCCAGGCAAAGGGAAAGGGCTATGTTTGCAGACACGAAAGCACATTAAGATACATGGCAAGACTGGTGAAATATAGTTGGAGAGTTAATTTGGACCTGATCATAAAGGGTTGTGGATGTTAAATATGTTTGAACTTTATCTTTTGAGTAATGTCAAAGGTTTTTAATCAGGGTAATGATGTTACTTTTAGGAGGGGAACTGGTAACTATGTGGAGGATGAATTGAAAGGGAAAGAGTGGTGAAAAGAAGACCAGACTGTAGGCTGTTGGAATAGTTTTGAGGAGTGTAATACAGGCTTGAATCAAACTAGTGACTGTTGAGGTGGAGAGGAGGACCTAGATTTAGGAATTATGATTAAAGTACCTTTTCACTTAGATTTTTTTTTAGTGCTTTGTTGGTACATAGCACTAAATTTATGAAGAATGTAGAGTGTAGGAGGCACTCATCGTGGTGTCTCATTGATTCTGTGGGATGTGGTGAGTGAGGGGAGACTGAGAGTTGACCCTGCTGTTCTGAGGTGAGGGGATATGACCGCTACTGACAGATGCCACTGGCAGGAAGTTGAGGCAGTTTGGAGTAAAGGGGTGTATTAAAGGTTAGATGCAATTATAGAATTTTAAGGTCTGCAGGCACATTAAAGTTCTCTTGTTCACATAGGAGCTTGAGGTGTTGTTGGAGTAACTGCTGAAAATTTCTAGTGGAGATGGACTGGCTAAAAGTCAGGACAATGGCCAGAGCTTCTGGAATAGTTCTTATGAAGACAATAGTTGAACTGCAAGAGTTAATCAGGGTGGAACACTTTAGGTAGACTCTTTGGGGAACATGGGTGGGAAGCATGTGAAAGAAGGAGGGGATGCTAAGGAGACTCTAAGGAGGTCTGCCAGACTTGAGGCTATTTATCTCCCCAATTAGGCTAGACCATTTTTCATCTTTTTAATTTCAATGTGATGGAAATTTCAGAACGTAAGAGAACAGAGGTTGGTCAAAAGATTGCATGTGTTTTTATTCTCTGTCAATTCTAGTGCCAAGCAATTCCTAGGTAAGATCTATGCCACCTTCAGCTCTGAGCCTGTGGAAGGGGCTTTCTGCCTTTTATTACCTTCTCTGGTGCAGACATTGTGGGCTAATGTTGAAATCCAGTTATGTCTTTTTCCTTATTTAGGATACGAAGACAAAAGATTTCCTCATAAACAGTAGAAGGAGGCTACAAAGCAAGAGAGCAAGCATGATCCCTAAACCAAGGACATTTGCAGAATCTCTTTGTTTTGATTTAATGCAGATCTCAGCCTGTTTTCCAGGAAGGGGCCCATTTCTTTCTGGGAACTGCGGTCATATATTTTTCCCTCCCAAGGAGGAAAAAAGTGGTCTGAGGAGCTCCCATTAAGGAAACTGAAAGTTTAGTTAGATAAAAGATGGACCATGGGAGGCCAAAGCAGATGAGAATTTCTGAGGCTGATTGCTAAAATATTGAGTGTTAATGGAAAGGGCAGTGAATGTAGAGATTAAGACCCTAGTTGTTTGGGCAATTAGGAGGTCATTGGAGGCTTTTGAAATTTCAGGTTTAATAAAGTTCAGGGGAGGGAAAAGGTGTAGGTAACTGAATTTTAGAGGTTTATGGAGTTAATTGGTAAGAGATAACAAGCTACTTCTTTAAGATGTGAGGGAAAGCTAATCAAGGCCTCAGTTACTACATTGTAGATTAAGAATCAAAGATCATTTCTTACATGGTGTCTCTTCCACAGCTTGGTCTGCTGCTGCCTTTTTTTTTTTTTTTTTTTTTTTTTTTTTTTTAATGTTTTATTATTTATTTTTGAGAGAGAGACAGAGTGCTAGCAGGGGAGGGGCAGAGAGAGAGGGGGAGACAGAATCCGAAGCAGGCTCCAGGCTCCGAACCATCAACACAGAGCCCTATGTGGGGCTCAAACTCACGAATCATGAGATCATGACCTGAGCTGAAGTCGGGTGCTTAACTGACTGAGTCACCCAGGCGCCCCATTCTTCTTCTTTTTTTTTTTTTTTTTTAACGTTTATTTATTTTGAGAGATTTAGAGTGTAAGCAGGGGATGGGCAGAGAGAGAGCATGGGAGAGAGAGAATCCCAAGCAGGCTCCACACTGTCAGTGCAGAGCCCAACTCGAGACTTGAACTCATGAGCTGTGAGATCATGACCTGAGCTAAAATCAGGAGTTGGACAATTAACTGAGTGAGCCACCCAGGTGCCCTGGCCTGGTCTGCTTCTGATGCTCAGGTATACCTCATAGAGAAGAGAGGCTTAGAGCACTGAGTCCTGGCTCTGTTGGTTTCAGCCTGCTTTCTTTGTAGTAGCTCCTGTATCCCTGCCTGGCATCATGTTAGGTGTATAAGCATGTTTCAAGTTCTGTTTTCTCAATGTATGTTTCACTCTGGGTCAGTGTCTTTCAAAGTGTGGCCCCAGCATCATCAGCGTCTGGGAATGAGTTAGAATTATAAATTCTCAGGTCCACCTGGGACTTACTGAATCTAAAACTGGTGGTTAAACCCAGCAATCTGTGGGTAAAACCTGTGCAATGATGTTGATGCACACCAAAGTTTGAGAACCATTGCTCAAGGAATGGTATCAGTATTAGCTCTTCCTCAGTTAATGTTTTTGAAGCTCTTTTTGAGGCAGTAAAAACCATTGGGAAAGTCAGACATCCATGATTTCTCTTAACAGTTTACTTTGCTGTTGGTGCTACTTTTAGTTATGAAAGAGATTGCCTTTGGGAGCTTTTTAGATTTACACTCTTAGGAAAGAGCTATTCATATTGGTGAAGGGTCAGTTTTGATTTGGCATGTTTGGTTGGAGCTTGGTGGAACCTGATTAATTGCCCCTTGCTGTAAGAGAAATCAACTCAGGAGCTGGATTAAAAATGAGTATATTTGGATTAAAATCTAGTATCAGTTTTATTTTTTTGTTTTTGTTTTTTGCCCTCATGTGTAGGGTTCACTAGTGAAGTTTGACTGGAAAATAGCATTGTTCAGTGCTATCTAATGGAACTTTCTATAAGAATGAAATGTTCTGTATTTATGCTGTCCAGTAGGGTAACCGCTAGCCATATGGGGCTATTAAACATTTTCAATGTGGCTAGTACAACTAAGGAACAGAATGTTAGGTTTTATTTATTTATTATTACTTTTTTAAGTATTTATTTTGAGGGAGAGAGGTAGGATCCCAAGCAGGCTCTGTGCTGTCAGCTCAGAGCCTGACGTGGAGCTTGATCTCACAAACCATCGTGAGACCTGAGCTAATATTAAGAGTTGAATACCTGAGCCACCCAGGTGCCCTGAAAGAGAGAATCATAAGCAGACTCCACACTCAGTGCAGAGCCCAACGTGGTATTCAATCCTGAGACCCTGGGATCGTGACCTAAGCTGAATTCAAGAGTTGGATGCTTAACCAGCTAAGCCACTGAGGTGCCCCTGTTAGATTTTATTTAAATTCAATTAGGCACATGTGGCTTTTGGCCACCTTGTGGGAAAGTGCTAGTTTAACCCCTAGATGAGTGCATCACAAACACAGAATGTCTCGGACTCACCTGAAGACCTTGTTGAACTCCAGATTCTGGTTCAGTAGGTCTGGGGCGGGGCCTAAGAATCTGCTCCCAAGTGATGCTATTGTAACTGTCTGCAGACCACATTTTGAATAGTAAGGCCTTAGAAAAGCCAGGGGTGTCTTACTCTTCCTTTTTAGTCCAACTGATTTACTTTTCTAGTCACTGGTGAGGCAGCTAGATCGCAGGATTTAGGGTGGGATTTGTTCTAATGAGTTTCCTTGCATAGGAGCAGGAGCAGAAGGGTTCCATTTGAGGGCAAGTCTGAGAGAAGAAGGTTTTTTTCCTGCCTCAGTGACAATAACTCCAGCCATCACTACCTGGTATTGTATAGCCTACAGGTATTTTATCCCCTTCCAAGGGGGAAGAACAAGTAAGTAGGTAGACCAAGTGAGATTGCCAGCACTTTGGAATACTTAAAATGTTGGGACTGGAAGGAATTTTAGGGATCATCCAGATCAAAGATTCTGAAGCTGGGGTCTGCAGGTGACTTCAGTATTTTGAAGTTTTGAATCCAGGTTTTGGTGAGGCTTAGGGATGGGCTTAGGGTTGTATGTTGCAACATTACTTTGTAATGAAGGAAAGCTATATGTTTATTAGTTTGTTTTATAGGGTTGTAAAACATGTAAAATGTCAAAATGTTCCTGGTATGAAATAATTAAGTGATTCTAACACAGGAGATTGTTGAGGATTAGATGAGAAAATGTGTATGTGTGATTCATGTCTCTTTCCCCACAAACTCTTCCAACAGTTTGTTCTTGGACATAGTAAATCCCTAACCTTGGGCCAGGTATCCTATCCCAGATTGTCAAAGTGGCAGGAGAGCGATCATAGTTGACTTACTACCACTTTCTCTCTCTCTCTCTCTAGAGAAATAGCTTTGTGATAAGCCTGACTGAAGCTGGGCTGTTCCAGAACCAGAGTTACATAGAGTAGTCTGCATAGTGGTGTTTAGGGAGTTAGGCTCAGGGCTTTTGAGGATTCTTGGTGTCCAGTAGGACCATATGGTTCAAGTCATTTGGAGAATTGTCAGAGACGTACTGTTAAAATAAGGACAGCTTTATAGTTGTATAATGTATTACATTCAAACACCTTTTGTATACAGTATTTAATTTGATTAATTAACTAAAAATTGATGGATTGCCTTCTCTATCCATGGTATTGATCTTTCATTGTAGGCAGGAAATACAGGGAAGTATGCTGTAGTCTACCATGAATGATAGTTTGGTGACAATTGGGAGATGAGTACAGAAGTTAAACACAAATTAGTAAATGTAAAATTTACTACTTTAAAAAGTAAAATTAAAACTGAGCAGTTTAATAAGAGATGTCATTGCCATCTTTTGGCTATGTGGCTTTGAGTATTTATTGAATTCTGTTACCTAGGTAGCACATATCCAAGAGTGTGTTGATACTGCTGCACAAGGAAAATACTACATGATGGAAGTCAATATTAAAGTCATACCTCTTTTTTCTGAACTTCCAGTGCAGGGGTGCCCCAACTTTTTCTGTACAGAGACTAATGGTAACTATATAAGGCTTAGGGCCATACATTTTCTGTTGCAACTACTCGTCCCTGTCATTGTAGCTCAAAAGTAACCCATAGACAATACACAAATGATTGTGTTTCTGTTCCAGTAAAACTTTAAATTAGGTAGCAGGCCAGTATGGCCCACAGGCCTTAGTTTGCCAATCCTTCTTGTAGGGAAGTGAAGTTCTAGTAAGTCCTGCTAGTTATCTTTCATTGAGCCTTTTAAGTTGTAAGCTCTTTGCAGACCACTTCTTTCCACCATATCATTTAATTTTTTTTTTTTTCAACGTTTATTTATTTTTGGGACAGAGAGAGACAGAGCATGAAGGGGGGAGGGGCAGAGAGAGAGGGAGTCACAGAATCGGAAGCAGGCTCCAGGCTCTGAGCCATCAGCCCAGAGCCTGACGCGGGGCTCGAACTCACAGACCGCGAGATCGTGACCTGGCTGAAGTCGGACGCTTAACCGACTGCGCCACCCAGGCGCCCCACCACCATATCATTTAGCACAATGCCTTATACCAGGC